AGCTATCTAGACTCATGAAAAAATGCTCTAAATTAATATTGATCAGAGAAATACAAATTGAAACAACTCTGAGGTACCACCTCATACCTATCAGACTGGCTAATGTGACAGAAAAGGAAAATGACAGAAGTTGGAGGGGATGTGGAAAACTAGGACCCTAATGTACTGCTGGTGGAATTGTAAACTAACCCAACCATTCTGGAGAGCAATTTGGAGCTATGCCCAAAGGGTTACAAAAATGTGCATACCTTCTGACCCAGCAATATCACCATTAGGTCTATATCGCAAAGAGATTAAAAACAATAAAAGGGGGGGTTGTTTGTACAAAAATATTTATAGCAGCTCTTTTCGTGGTGGCTGAGAACTGGAACCTGAGGGAATGCCCATCAATTGAGGAATGGCTGAACAAGTTGTGGTATTCGAATGGAATGGAATGGAATACTATCGTGCTGTAAGAAACGATGAGCATGATGATTTCAGAAAAACCTGGAAAAACTTACATGAACTGATGCAAGTGAAGTGAGAAGAACCAGGAGAACATTATACACAGTAACAGCAATACTGCACAATGAAGAACTGTGAAAGACTTAGCTGTTCTCAGCAACACAGCAGTCCAAGACAATTCCAAAGGACTCATGATGAAAAACACTATCTCCCTCCAGACAAAGAGCTGATTAATCTGAATGCAGATCAAGGCATACTGTTTTTCACTTTTTTTGTTGGAGATATTTTACAAGATTGCATGTGTATAACCTGTATCAAATGGCTTAACATTTCAGGGAGGAGGAGGGGGAGGAGGAGGTCCACAGAACATGAAATAATCAGACTCGATGTCTTTTTAAATTGATCCTACTTACAGTTAATTGATTTTGTCCTGCTAACTGCCTACGTCACGATTCTTTGTCTCTCAACTGAGCTGAGAAATCCAGCTGTCACATAACGAGGTGCGCGTTCTCCGACCTCGCAGGTGAGTCAAGCCATGGACATTTCTCAGCCACATAAGGGAGGGAGGGGGTGTTGCCGGCCTCTCACTCCCAATCTCTCACCAATCACAACCCTTTAAAAAGGGGAGCCGTTCCCCATTTGGGGTCTTAGCTTGCTGGGGAAGCCCAGGTCCCATCTCTTGGGAAATTCATGCTTTCCTAATAAACTGATCATGCTCAGAATCTGCACCTCTTGCTGCTGTTCAGTTGTTTTCAGTTGAGGCTGTCCCCTCATGACCCCATTTGGGGGTTTCTTGGCAGAGATCCTGGAGAGGTTTGTCATTTCCTCTTCCAGCTCATTTTACAGATGAGGAAACTGAGGCAAACAGGGTGAAGCAACTTGCCTAGGGTCACAGAGGTAGTAAGTGTGTGGACCACATCTAAACTCAGGTCTTTCTGACTCCGGGCCCAGCATTCTATCCAGTGTGCCAACCAGCTGCCCCGTCTGTGCCTCGATCTACCTTAATTGTTTTAACAGTTACAAACAGATGAGAAAAACTGAGGCTCAGGAGAACAAACGAAGGAAGGACATAAGTGTTCCTGAAGTGGCCACTATGTGCCAGTACTTTACAAATATCATCTCAAACTTGATCCTCACAAGACCCTGGGCGGTACGCGCTATTATTATCATCCCCATTTTACAGCTGAGGAAACTGAGGCAGACAGGTTAAGTGACTTGCCCCGGGTCACCCAGGTGCTAAGTATGGGTGTTCACACACGGCATGCTGGGGGTATGGTCTAGCCTGCGGACAAGATGGGGATGGCAGAAGTGAGAACAGGGAAAGCTATTGCTTCCACCCTAGGCTGCCCACTCCCACTCAGTCCCTACCTACTCTTCCGTCCTGGGAAGGCTGAGAAGGATCCCTGGCCTACAGAGAAAGACGAGATGACCCCTTCCATGCTAAGGAGTCGATGAGACAATGTGGAAAGCACTGAATTCAAATTCTCCCAGCTATCAGATCACGGGCAAATCATTCTAGCTCTCCTCAGAGAGTGTTTTCAGCATTTTCATCGGTAGAATGGGAGTAAGAATGACATAATTTACCCCATGCGATTATTGTGGGAAAAGCAAGTTATAAGCTTGAAACACCTACAGAAACGGATTGTGCTTGATGAATATGACGATTCCTAACATGGATTCATCCTGACCCACGAAACATATTAATGCAGACAAGCGCTATTCCTACAAGCCCACGGGGGGCCAGCGTGCTGCATCCAGGGGCCCCGGGTGACTGGCTGCTCGGCGCTCCCCACTCTCCGAGGAGCCCCGGACAGAGCTCCCGCACACCCACCTCGCTGGTGGCGCTCTCCTCCTGCGCCTCCTCCGCCGGGACCTCAAAGATGACGCTGTAGAAGGAGATGAGAATTTCCACGATGCGTGCCTGGTGCGGGTAGTCCACCAGGGAGGAGAGGGACACAGTGGCCTCCGTGGGCCGCGGGCGCAGCAGGGTAGGCCCAAAAATGATGCCCAGGCTGCTCGGCGTCATCTTGGTGTCCTCCTCCGCTTCCACAACCCTGCCCGGGACGATAAGATGACATATCAAGAAGAGCTAGGCATGCAGTCGATCCCTCTTTGTAGAGAACCCTAGAGAATTCACTGAAAAACTAAGTGAAACAACGAACAGCTTCAGCACAGTCACAGGACAGAAAAGAAGCCCTCACCAATCATCGGTGTTTCTATAGATTACTAACAAAGTCCAGCAGCCAGAGAGAGGAAGGGAAATTCCACTGAAAATAACTTCAGACGATATAAAACACTTGGGAGTCTGTCTGCCAAGACAAACCCAGGAACTATAGAAACACAACCACAAAACACTTTTCACACAAATAAAGGCAGATCTAAACAACTGCAAAAATATGAACTGCTCACGGGGAGGCTTGAGCCAGTGATCAAAAATGACAATTCTATCTAAATTCATTTACCTATTCAATGCCATACCAATCAAACTACCAAAAAATATTATTTTATAGAACTAGAAAAAAATGACAAAAACGAAAGGTCAAACATTCCAAGGGAATCAATTAAAAAAACAAAACAAAACATGCAGTAAGGTGGCTTAACCGTACCAGATCTCAAACTGTATTACAAAGTGGTAATCACCAGAACTGGCTAAGAAACACAGTGGTGGATCAGTGGAATAGATTAGTACATAATACACAACAGTGTTTAACAAACACAAAGATCCAAGCTTTTGGGACAAGAAAGCACTAGTTGACAAAACAGGAAAACAGTTTGGCAAAAACTAGGTATAGAGCAACATATTACACCATTCGTCATAAGGTCAAAATGGATATGTGATTTAGATATAAAGGGCAATACCACAGGCAAATTAGGGGAGTATGGGATATATTACCTGCCAGATGAGGGAAGAATTTAGGACCAAACAAGAGATAGAGAGCATTGTGAGATGTAAAATGGTAATTTGGATTATATCAAATTAAAAAGGTTTTGCACAAACAAAACCAATGCAACCAAGATTAAAGGAAAACAGAAAGCTGGGGGGAAAATTTACAGCAAATATCCATATCCAGAGAAAGAATTATGGAGTCTGAAAGCAGATCGAAGCATACTATTTGCTCTTTTTTTTTTTCTTCTATTTTAGTTCTTCTTTCTCATGGTTCTTCCTACTGGTTCTAATTCTTCTTTACAACATGACTAATGTGAAAACATGTTTAATAGGAATGTATATACAGAGCCTATATCAGATTACATACTGTCTTGAGGAGGGGGGAAGGAAGGAAGGAGGAGAAAATTTAAAACTCAAAAGCTTATGGAAGTGAATGCTAAAAACTAAAAATAAATAAATTAATTTTAAAAAAAGAAAAAAATTTGCACAAGTATCTCTAATAAAAGCCTCATTTCTCAAATACACAGAGAACTGAATTAAATTCATAAGAATACAACTCATTGCCCAACTGTTAAATGGTCAAAGGATATGAACAGGCAGTTTTCAAAAGAAGAAATCAAAGCGATCTATAGTCTTATGAAAATATACTCTAAATCACTGTTGAGAAATGCAAATTAAAACAACTTTGAGGTACCAACTCACACCTATCAGAGTGGCTATACAACAGAAAAAGAAAATGATAAATGTTGCAGAGGATGTGGGAAAATTGAGATCCTAATGCACTGTTGGTGGAGTTGTGAACTGATCCAACCATTCTGGAGAGCAATTTGGAACTAAGCCCAAAGGGCTGTAAAACTGTGCAAACCCTTTGACCCAGCACTGGGGTCAAACACCACTACTGAGTCTGTATCCCAAAGAGATCAAAGAAGAAGGAAAAGGACCTCTATGTACAAAAGCTCTTTTTGTGGTGGCAAAGAACTGGAAATTGAGGGGATGCCCATCAACTACACAATGGTTGAACAAGTTGTGGTGTTTGAGTGTGATGGAACACTACCGTGCTGTAAAAAATGACACAGGACGGTTTCAGAAAAACCTCGAAAGGCTTGTATGAACTGATGCAAGTAAAGTGAGCAGAACAGGAGAACATGGTACACAGTGACAACGATCAACTGCGAATGACTTAGCTACCCTGAGCAATACAGTGATCCAAGACAATTAAACATGCTGTCCACCTCCCGAGAAAGAACTGATGGAGTCTGAATGCAGATCTACTATTTTTTACCTTTTTTTCTTTTTATTTTTTTTGGAGGGAGGGCTGTGTTTTCTTTCATAGCCTAACATGGAAATGTGTTTTGCACCTGTATAATCTTTATCAAACTGCTTGCCTTCTCAATGACAGGGGAAGGTGGGGAGGGTAGGAGAGAATATGGAACTCAAAATCAAAAAAAAAGAAAAAAAGCTAATGTTAAAAGATGTTTTTACATGTAACTGGAAAAAAAAATAAAAGATTTTTAAAAATCACAGCATTATACATGTCCTATAGCAGTTTAAAGGTTGTGCTTGCCTTTTCTGCACGACCACTCTGGGATGGGATTTTGAGGTTTGCCAAGAGCTTTCCCCTACATTCATTTATGTGACGTTCACAGCCAGCCTGGTCCAGAACTGGAGGCACTGTGATGATCAGATGTCCACTTTACAGAGGAGGGAATGGGCTCAGACTGACCACCCAGCTGGCCAACACCTTTTGGAGGGCAAGAGTGGAAGCCCAGTCGTCCTGACCCATTAGCCCACGACACCGCAAGCTGGAGGGACCTTAGAGATCAGCTGGTCTGACCCTCCACATTTTACAGATGAGGAAACTGAGACTCAGAGGGGTTCAACAATTTGTCCAAGGTCACACAGCCAGTCAATTATCAGGATAAAAATTCAAAACCAGGGCTGCTGGAGAACAATTTATACAATAACAACATTGTAAAAACAAACAGCTTTAATAAAAAACTTAAGAACGCCGACCAACCCAATGACCAAAGGATTTGTGATGAATCCTTTGCAAGGATTCCAAAAGGTTCACGACAAAACGCACTTCCCACCTCCTGACAGAGAGGTTGATGGACTCAGGGTATGGATTACTGGGACGTGGCCAATGGCGAAATGTGTCTTGCTTGACTAGATATATTATAAGGGGTTTGTTTTTCTTTTTTTTCAATGAGGGGGGTAGATGGAAGAAGGAAAAAAAGAGACTTTTGTCAATTGAAAAAACACATTCTTAACACACACTCACAGGCAAGGGTCCCTGACTCCAGGTCTGGGATGCATCATGAGGGACGGCGGCCTCTCCCTCCTCCCTCGGGGCACCTGGGGAGCCCCTGCCCGGCCCCCTCCCCCTCCTCACCTCCGAAGGTGCCGAAGGAGGTACTGCAGCGTGGCCTTGTTCTCCACGGGCAGCTCCTTCAGCAGGTCCCGGAGCCTGCTGGTCATGGCTTCTACATCCTGCTCCTTGTCTCTGTCGGCTTCACTTCGGCCCTGAGTCACCTTGGCTTCTGCCTCTCCCTGCAGGCTCTCCTTCGCCAAC